CCAAAGCCTTGACCAAGGACAGCCTCGAGGGTACTAGGACAGCATATACAGAGTCGAGCTCGCCTTTTGGGGTTAGTGGGAGATTGGCAGAGTCTATCTGCAATGAGCCTTTCGCCCGGGTAACACAAAGGCTTAATGGGCAAGGTTTGCGGTTTCCGAAGCGTGGAACATTTGCCGCCACCTTTGACAAAGTCCAATCGGAGCGACACTTATCCGTTCTCCCCGGTCGCCGATCATGATAGATGGAATGTTTCTTCACATCAGTTTGCGCGACAGTTGAGTTGAAACTTAGCATGATGCAGGAAAGCTCGGGTATAGCAAGGGCCAACTCGCGAAAACAGTCAACCTGCCACCGGGATATGTGCAAGAAGTCCCCAATGGAAGATGAATTATCCACCTGGAGGGTGAACAAAGATACTGGGACCTCTCCATCTTTAAAATTGAACAGTCAGCGAAGTTGTATCATTAGTCGATGGCTGGACTATACCTGAGTATCGCTCACAGAAACGACCTGGTAATCGGATATGGCAGTGATTGGATCACACGTTAACACGTGGAATAGGTACCGGAAACTTACACTTTTGATGCTTGGGGGCGCATCATTACCCATCGTCATTCGGAAGGCCTGCCGGGCTGCCAAGGGTCAGTCCCAGGTTGAGTAAGTCCGAAATGGAATCAAGCTGCCTTGCTCAGCTTGCCCAGAAAGTTTCGACTCTTCCGAGCTGTAGAGGTTGCAACCATTTCATGCCTGCACTATGCAACCACTTCCCCCATTTGTAGCTTGATTAGAGTTGGATGGCACACCATCAAGCATAGCAAGTCGAACGTGGAGGCATGAACTTCTGGTCCATTTGCCAGGAATCCTTGACAACTTTCACGAACATCATGGTGCAACCGGCATGCTGCCGTTAGACCTTTGTATCGCTCATGACATCTTTGTAGGACACCTCTGCGCTGTATACTCCGCCCGTTCGTGAGTGACAGCCACCAACCTCACGGCACATACTGGTTGCAGCTCATCCGATCTGAGGCAGACAACTCAGGATGTCTCGGAGCAAAGCCGATCGAGGTAGCTTACTGAAAGCTGCACAGCTGGGGTAGCTCTCCACGGATGCGTCGGAGAAATGGGCATCCCTGAATGCCAGAGGGATGAACAACGTTTGAGTATGTCGACGAACTAGATCCGGTGCAATGCGAGGACCTACAGTCCATAGATTGCTCGGCAGGCTACATATCACGGGAAAGATGATTTACAACTAAAGTTACTAAACAGATCCCGGACTATAAAGAACAGCATCACCCCCGGTGAAATAATGTCTTCTTTTCTCCTCATCAGACAGACAAGACAGTAATCAGTTCAAGCTCAGGATACCCTTCCAATTATACCCACCTTTGGTTTTTGATACCAGCACTTGCGGTTCGCTTAGATCGTCAGCATGCTCTACTCAAAGCTCTTCGTTGCCGCTATCACCGGCATCAGCTGCGTCGCGGCTATGCCCGCCGAGCAGCCTGCCGAGTTGGCCAAGGCAGAGGCGTTTCCCCGTGGCGAATGCCGCGATGAGCGCGACGAACTCTACTGCGGCCGCAGCGTCAAGGAGTTTACTCGCTACGGTAAGTTCTTTCGACGCATTGTGAGCCTGGCCACAGTGAGCTTTGCTAATGGAGTTTGTAGATGCGAAAAACAGACTCTGCTTCGCCAATGACGGAGGCAACAGGCTCTTCTGCGCAATTCGTGAGCAGCAGGAGCTGGCTATCGAGCTGGCTCGCGAATTCGACAGAATTACCCGATGCGAGATCGATCAGTACTACGGCTACAGAGAGCGCCGCTGCGAATGCTACCGCCGCCGCGATGGAGATCGTGGTGGCAGAGGCCGCGAGTGCCGCGATGGCGACCGTGATGGCGACAGACGCGGCGGCCGTGATGGTGACCGCGATGGTGACCGAGGCCGTGGTGGTCGTGATGGTGACCGTGGCCGCGATGACCACGACCCCAATTGCAAGGGCGATGACCTTGCTTTCTGCGCGGCTAGTGAGGACTTGATCATCACCTATGGTTAGTTAGACAATATTCGATGCCGGTTCTTCAATCAGGCGAAATTACTGACAATCTCACAGAGCGCGGCGCCGAGATCTGCGACAGGAACCGTGGTAACTACGTCTTCTGCGCCAACCGGGAGCGCGGTGCTGCCCGCGAGAAGGCCAGAGATCACTTCCGCGACCGCAACAAGAAGCAAGCTTAGGTCTTCCATATTAATATGTCTCTCATTTAGAGCATGCAGCTGGTACCAACTGAACCAACTTGGGTGTGCGGGTTGGGAAGGGTTTACTGAGCCGAGTCGAGTCTAATGGAATGTTTAGTCTGTAATCTGTATTTCGTATAGTGGGTTAATCAGTGTGGAAACCACAGAGAATGGAAAGAAATTGTTACTCCCCGAATATCAAATAGAGTTGCATTTGTTCGTACGAAGTCCATTAACATCTACTTTAGGAATCTTATCAATTCCCAATTCTTCAGCTTCCGCTGGGAGATTAGAGCCATATCTCAGAAAATGTCTCGCACCGCTTGAAGGAGTTTTACACTACCATCTTATTGTGGTACTGATCTTTGGAGTCGCGGGAGGGTCTACAGTGAATGGATGGATGGCAGATGATTGAGAATGCCTAGAGTTAGTCAATCGATGTTCTCTAATGGTCGAGGTTTTGAACTGTGAGGAAGCACGCTTCCGATGAGTTCTTAACCTGCTTTGTTAACTAAGTAACTTCAGGAAACAAGAGCGTTGTTGTCTGCGGACCAATTGCAATCCTTTCGTCTCGACTTTCCTTCCTAAAGTACGGCTCGACATTCCTTCCCGAGTTGAAAGAGTCCAAATTGTGGAGACGGTCTCGGTTGCAAGGCTACTAATGCGGGGGGTTGGGAAAGATTAACCGACACAATTGAAGACGGCGACGAACGTCGACAAAACAGCCCGAGCAAATTTGTCCCGCTGACGGGTCAATACGACTTGTTTGGAGCCTGTCTAACAGTATTTCTAGGAAATTATCGATGCATCTGGTAAATCGAAACCCCGAGATTAGTCCAGAGACACCCCCGCAACAATGTCCAAGCCCCTGGGCCGTAGCAGCGGTGGTTGTTGGACATGTCGTATCCGCCATAGGAAGTGCGATGAAACAACTCCGAACTGTAAAGAATGCACAGATCGACACATAGTGTGCCATGGCTATGGAGCTGAGCCTGATTGGGTCAAGGACCCAGCCAAGCTACAAGCGGAACTTCAACGTATCAAGCATGCTGTGAAACAGAACTTCCGCCGAACTCGAAAACTGCAGGCTTCTTCCACACGATCATCCACCAGAGCCGTAACGGAGCCTTCGAGGGAAACTCTTGAAGAGTCAGCCATATTTTCGCCAGGCGGGTCTGAGTATAGAGAAGCTGAGCTCCTGACATATTATCTGGACTACATATTTCCCCTTCAATACGCCTATTACGTGGATAAACCAGCCCTCGGTGGCCGAGGATGGCTTTTCTGGCTCCTGTCCAAGCAAGGGCCGCTTCGTCAAGCCGCCTTTACGCTATCCGCTCTACACCAACACGCCATGTCGCAAAGTAAGACAGAGGAGATGGAGTCAGAGCTTATTCGATATCACACCAATGCGATGCAAGAACTCCGTCAAGTTCTCATTCGCTGCGAGACAGACGGTTTCGCCAGCCATCCCGAATATCGCGTCGAGTTTCTCACCTGTGGAACTTTCCTCATCAGCTTCGAGGTATCCACTCTTCTAACCTATTTTGAGCCCATGATTACACCCTGCTAATTCTAGCCTGGCTAGGTCTTCCAAGGAGGAACTACTAATTGGCAGTCACATCTGAACGCTCTTGTGTTGGTCGCGGGTCAAATCGACTTGGAGAGCATGGGAGGGAGGTCCGAATCTTCTACGAGAATTGAGACTGGGTTCCAGAGGATTATGAGTGCTGCCATAAGATTCCATGTGTCTCAGCTACTTTGGTTCGAGCTTCTGTCATGCGTTTCTACAGGTGAATCACCGAGGCTACCTTACCAAAGGTGGCTCAGCCACGAAGAAATCGATGTGTCCTGTGTCATGGGTTGCCAGAACTGGGCTATGCTAGCTCTTGGAGATGTAGCCTCGCTAGAAGCACAAGTTGCAGAGATGAACCCTAGAGCCTTGAGCCGCAGAATAGCAGACATCACTAAACGGCTCGAAGACGGTGTTGGGTACTTGGGGGTAGAACAAAAGGTAGGATACCTCCTCAATTATATCGAGCATGAAATGATACTAATTTCTTTCGGTCAGCCCGCTTCAGCCTTAATATCGCAGTCGATTACCCGCATATATGCAACGGCAGTCCTTGTGCAACTGCACACCATTTCAGCCAGCACAGAAGAACCGCCAGAGAACGCGCTTGAAATTATTTATAACGCAGTATCTGACGTCATGGATGCTCTTCAAAGTGTGCCTGATGGCCTGTCTCTGAAACCTGTAACGTGGGCTATGTGCGTCGCTGGAGCAGTGGCAGGACCAGATCAACAACCATTCTTCGAGAATCTGATAGAGGGAATCCTCGAAAGCTCGGGTTCCGGTTTCACAAACGTTGATACGGTGCTACGTGTTCTAAGGGAATGCTGGAAGGAAAGAGACTACTATGTTACCGACAACAGTGTCCCTAGAAATGCAATGTCGCGGCTGGGGATATGTGCCCTTTTGATTTGAGCCGTGGCCAACACAGTTTCCTGCTTCCTGCAAGATTTATCGCCGGCCAGGGCAATATCCACGCACATGAGCACCCTATAAGACGGAAGAATGAAGATTCAACGTTTCAAATCATTTGGAAAAAAAATATCAAAAGACACTAAGACCTCGCTGCCGTAGCTTACGCATTGTCTCGCGACGTCCGAACTCGCAACCCCTATCCTTGTCCAGATGAATCTTTCCCCTTTAACAACGATACAATCACACCAGGCTTGAGTACTCCCGCTCTGGGTTCAGTCATCAAGTACTTGAACTTTCAATGCCAGAGCAGTAGGGTCTGAAGCTGTTTTGAAGGCCTTCTCGCCATCTTCGAGAGCAAATCGGTGGGTGACTAATGGTTTGAGATCAATGACTCCCTCAGCAACAAGCCCAATGGCCCGTGGATAGATATCTCGGTAGCGAAATTGGAAACGTAACTCGATTTCCTTGCCAGCCATATACATGATGGGAATCGTGGCAAAATCTTTACCACAGCCGATAACAAAGACCATGCCGCCGAATCGGCAAGACTTCAAAGTTCAATTAGCACAGGTATCCTGGTCAGACGTGTAAGTCGGGTGGATTACTTACGTATATACCGGTGACCACACTTGACTCAACGCCAGTACATTCTAGCACTGTCTTGGCTTCTTGACCAAGAGCTCTTTTGACGTCCTCGGCAGTCGCCTGCGGCTCCTTTCCACCGGTGATGAGCACTGTTCGCACTCTAGGAACTGCCTTTTTTGCCATGTATAGCCTGGTCTGATTGATGTCCGTAATGACGATTGGGTTTGCACCTGCTGCGTTAGCAGCCAGCAAAGTGGCAATGCCAATGGGACCAGAACCGCAAATAACCACGGGATCACCCAAGCGAACACCGGATCGCTCGAGCCCCGTCAGAGCCACTGAGAGCGGCTCGAGAAGAGAGCCCTCTTCATATGACATACCATCAGGAATCTTATGAAGCCAGTCTTCTGGGTGCACGTGGTAGCGGGTAAGGGTTCCATGATATGGGGGCGTTGAGTAGAAAACCACCTCTGGGCAGGCGTTATATCGGCCTGTTCGACAGAAGAAGCACGATGCCTTCATACAAGGGATGCCGCATTCGATAGCTACCCTGTCGCCGACCTTGAACTTCGTCACTTTCGGTCCTACGCTCACGACTACGCCTGCACTCTCATGGCCTAGCCCGTTCTCACCCGTCACAACCATCTCGCCGATGTGACCTGCTTTCCAGAAGTGAACGTCGGAGCCGCAGATTCCAGTTGCTCGCACGTGGACTAGGCACTCCCCATCACTCGGGGTCGGAACCTCGAGCTTTTTGAGAAACAGCTCATGTTCAGGATTGGTATAAATTGCAAGGTTGTCGGGTTTTCGGCGAAGAATATCGACTGCATCAGATGTATCCATAGCAGGCATAAGTGGTTGATGAGTATGACTTTGAACTTGATGGCGAAATAGAGCCAATGAGTCGGGAATCTGTGGGTGTCAATGGCGAAGTGAGTTTGGGACTTCAACATAAGTGCGGGTAGGTTCTTATACACCAAGCACATCTGATCTCACAAAGGTGGGCAGCTTACGAAGATGTCCGTTTTTTCTGGCTGCATAACCTTCGGAATTCTTTACCCCTCGCTTACCCCCCTCAGAGCACGTTGGCCATGTCGTTCACATTAGATCGTCCCGTGCAGCCTCAACAAATTGGCCCAAACGCTTCGTCTCCTCACAAGAAACCATAGACGGCGCCGTATCAAGTCACCACTACCCCACGTTCGGCGCACTGTCAGCCGGTTGGGTTTCCGCCACATTATTGATTTGGACGAAAACCCCCGCCCACTGCGACTCCCCGCACGCGACCTATGCAGGCCTGGTTTTTTACATTCTCTCTAAACATACCTCGTCCTTGGTCGTGGTTTACAAGCCCTCAAGTGACCTCGAGTAAGGAGCAAGATCGAAATCTCAGAGTCTCCCCTTTTGCTTAGCGAGTTTACGTCTATGCTCGGGAAGGGTAATCCGAAATTTATACGACCACTGGACTTCAAGCCATCGCCATGTCTCTCAATGGAAAGATCGCAATAGTGACGGGAGGGGCTCGAGGGATCGGTGCTGGTATAGTTCGAGCTCTTTCTAAACAAGGTGCAAATGTAAGTTCTGCTCTTATTGCCCGCCACTGTTTACCAGGTCAATATAAATCAGAGCTTCCTTGCTTGGTATATCCAAGCCGGCCTCATCTTACCCGAGTCGACCACTTATGAAGAATATTGATGTTAACAGGATGCAGGTTGCATTCAATTATGTCTCTCCTTCATCCGAATCTGCTGCGCTGAAATTGGTCGAGGAAGTCAAGGGGTTCGGGGTTCGAGTGACGTGTATTCGTGCCGATATGGCGTCTCTTGAGGCTCCCTCTCTTCTTCTGAAAGCCGCACTCCAAGAATTCCAGACCGACAAGGTCGATATTCTGGTGAACAACGCGGGTGTCGGAGGAAATGCACCACTCGAAGAAGTCACGATTGAAGACTATGATCGTTTGATGACAGTCAACGTCAGAGCAGTCATCTTTATGACTCAAAGCGTCTTACCTCACATCAGCCGGGGCGGCCGTATTGTCAACTTGTCTTCGATATCTGCCCGTGGTGGCTACCCAACTCAATCCGTATATGCCGCATCCAAAGCTGCTGTCGAAGGTTTAACGAGGGTCTGGGCCACAGAGCTGGGCCATAAGTACGGGGTAACAGTAAATTCTGTCAACCCTGGCCCTGTTGACACCGATATGTACCGTGCCGCTGGACCTGTGCATCTTGCGAGGATGGAAGAACAGAATAAGAAGGTTCCTGCCGAGCCCAGATGTGGAACGGAGGAGGATGTGGCAGATATCATTGTGTTCTTGTGCGAAGAGAAATCGCGCTGGGTGACTGGAGACACGATCTGTGCGAACGGAGGTATGGTCTACACATAAAAGAAAGATAGTTATGTACTGTATAACCTTCGCGAAGCCGGCTGCCTTGGTTTCCCATGATAACATAAGTACATAATACGACGTAACTTTAGAAATAGAAATCTTGAATGAGTTACCACCTTTGATGTTCCTTTGTGCTTCCAGCCTCACTGTAGAGATCTACGGGGAAACGCGCCAAAATGGCCCAAAGAAATATCGCAGGAGTCGTTGCGTCTTAGGGTAATAGGCCAAATAAAAGGCAAGCCAATCGAAACTTCATGGCGAATTAAGCGTAGCAAGTATATCTAGACTATGAGAAACTTACATGTAAGTCTCTCCTTGAAAATTAAGAACATAAAGCTAATGCTCACAGAAGTTCCATTCCGTCTTGAGCCAGCCAGCCTCCTTCTCTTTCAGCCATGTTCTTTCAGCCATCAGCTCCTGCCTCAGCTCCTTGGCCTGTTCCATTCCGATGGGCCACCTGTCTCTACTAAGGGTCTGTTCCCAGTTCTCTCGAGCTTTCAACCACGCGTCTTCAGAGTCAGCCCACTCTTTCTGAGCCGTTTCCCATTGAATCAATCCCTGATCATCTGATGTTGGGCCGAAAAGTGGATCAGTCTTAGCCTTGGCAGGCCACCAGTGTTTCTGCTGAGGCGGCACGTTCGACGTGCTGATGATAGGAATGGCTGGGTCGACGAGGAAGAGAGCTACAATCTTCCTATGACCAGGCTTTGAGGGATCTACCAGCTTGAAGGGAGAGACTTGGTGTTGGAGGAGGTTGGGGAAGAATAGTGCCCGGCCGCCTCTCGTATGTACTGATCCAACATTCTGAATCGTGTGGCCACGAGGATCGATTGCGAATGCCTGCTTGATGCTCCACCAGTCGTACTGCTCATAGTCGAGCGAGGTTCGTGAGTCAGAATCATCAAGTTCTTCTCTGTTGGCACATGTTCGGAAGTTGAGAGTGCAGTCCGTGATGTTCTCACAATCGTAGTAGTACAGTGCTGTGCTAACAATGTGTTCGTTCAGAAGACCTTCAGTATGCCAAGAGCCACCTTCGTATGCAGGGTTCTCCGGCGTGAGATGGATATTGGCCAACTTGACAATGACTTGACAGCGGTCTTTGCCCCCAAAGAAGCCACTGCTTCTAATGTCGGAAGCGGCGAATTTGACGTAATCTTTCGCCTCGGGGTCAGCGTCAGGAAGCGCAGGGCCATGAGTCTCTCTGAACCAGGCTTTGTCACGAGCGTTGCGCTCCGGATCCTTTCGGTTTCGTGGGGCTTCTCCCTCGGCGAGAGGACGTGCCTGCGCCCTGCACGCACGGCGTCGACCGCAAATGTCCGGACAAGGGCACATTGGCTTCTGGACATTGGATGTTACGAGACGCTGAATCGCAAACTTCTCCTCCCAATTGTATATAAGATCCCAAGCCGGCAAAGACTTCTCAATGAGCTGCTCGATGATCGGATAGAGGTGAGCCTGCTCTACAGGATGGAGGTTGTTGATGTAGCTTGCAATTTTGGCTTTTCCGGTGATTCGATCGAGGTTCACATCGCAGGGTAGCCATTGAAACTCCCTGCTCAACACCTTGTTTCTCGAAGTATTCCTCCAAGAAGTGGTGGGAGATAGTGTAGCCTCCGCCTTTGTCGGCTGGCGTATTGTAGTACCCATGCCGCAGTAGTCAAGAGCGTCATCAACGCCGATTGTGCGGTCATGAAGCACCTTAGAGCTACCGTATACCAAGGGCCAGAGGGAGGGATGGACTAAATCCAAGACTTGATCGTTGCTGTTAGGGTGCCAGTCTTTGCAGTCTGAGGGCACATCCTCAAGTGACTTGACGGCCTCTTGAATAGACCCGACGAACTCGGGGGTCAGGATGCTGTCAGACTTGATGACTGTTGTGCAGTAATCGTAGACAGGCATAAGCCCTGTCTGCTCATACACTTCCGCCTTCTTGCGTAGCTCACTGATACACTGGAGTTCGTTAGCGCCGACATACTGTTACGAAGACACAAGTCTACTTACCGCATCGGCCATAGAAGGAGTGAAGTGAGCATTCTCGATATACGATGCCCAGTCGATTGTCAAAGCCTCCGATTTCCACTTTGCAGCAATACTGTCGTCTTTTACCTTGAGCCACCACTGAGGTTTATCAGACAATTCATTGACAACCCTCAGCATACAGCATTCGCGAACCAGAAGCGTGACGGCTTCCCATTCACTCAGAAACAAAACAGGAAATCTCTCTTTGAGGCTGGGCATATGTCCAAGATTGAGACCGGCCCCGGGACGTTCGACAACCAGTTGTTCCAGGGTCAGTTGAAAAGTATCAGTGATCGTGACTGGACTTCAGGCCTGTAGAGGCTCACCTTGAATGCGCGATGGTGGTATCTCCACACCGCCTGCTTGATGACAAGGTTGAGGCACTTGAAGGAGAAGGCATTGAAGTCGAGCTCGGTGTTCTTTTCAATCCAATACTTCGCATCGGAAACATCGGGGTCTTTCGGGCCAGCCCAATTGTCGAAGGCTTCTTGTTGCTTGTCAGTTAACTTGACGCGCTCGTACTCTTGCTTCATGAATTCCTCCTCGTCGGGCGTGAGAGGCACCGGGCTTCCAAAGGCTTGAGTGGCCATGGTGCAGACCGGGACGTAGAAGGATGGACAGTGTTGTAATGACAAGGCTTGGTGAGATCCTATTGTTGCACAGGTAACGTAAAGTACTTTATTTATATATCCAGGTGTTGGCCACTCGTGAGATAATGTGAACTCCTGAAAATGCTGTACATCGTGAGAGACTTAGGCAGAAGTGTGGGTTCACTTAATTAAAAAGTTTATTCCGGCAGGCAGCATGGACAGAATCCCTTGTACAAGACTTGCCATCCCGAAACCCCACCAGCCATTCCAAAAATGGTTGCGGCGATCAAACTAGCGATAGGCTGTTACCGAGCATTGACTCACATGCTCCAGCTAGACAAGGATAACGTGTCGGCCACTGGATCGATAACTACGAATAGGCATGTCGACGTTAGCTTCCTTGACTACGACTAACAAAGTGAACTGTTCTCGTTGTAACATCACTCAGTGAAATGGATGAAATACGTAAGCTCTGTCAAGACCATCACAGTTGGCTCACAAGACCTCTCATGATGGGTTTTCGAAGGCGTGTAAGGTGGAAGACGAATTACTCTGGAAATCCGAACGCTTCGTATGAATCCAAGGCGCCTTTTTAGGCTAAGATTGGGTCCAGTATCTCGTATCTATACCTTGTGCCTTAGTATCACATCACTTGCTTAGGTTTGGTTTTTGAATTATGTTGTCACGGCAAAACCGTAATGATGATCTTTTAGATACTCCTCATGTTTTCTCCGGAAAAACATAGTAAATGAAGACTCGTTGCTGATCGCGATTACATCCAATCGAAAAATTGTTTGACAAACGGTAAGGTGTTGAAAATCCGAAATCTACCTTTTTCCGGAGAGGGTTCTCTGTAAACAGATGAAAATGTAAAATTATGATCCAAGTAAATATTTCACTTGGCCCTCAAGCAAGATAGTCTGTAAGCCTCTAGCTCCTGTGATCCCCGCACAGCTTCATATCTGTGTCATTCGCCTTTATTGAGCATGAGTCTAGGATTTTGGTCCTGACTCAACGTTTTCCTCCACTTCGAAAAGATACAACGTAGGTTCAGGCTGGTTTTCCTTGCGTATGATGTAGCGCTTAAACCACCATGGCAAGATCTCCAACAGTTGATAAGACGCATGCCGCCTGGTAGAAATCGAGAAGACGTCATCGAGTTCTTCAAGAGAGCGCTGCTTCGTCTCTGGAAGGAACAGAAAAATGAGGATTAAGCATATAACACCAAAGACGGAATAAAGTGTGAAGACTCCCTGGGGCTTGATGGCCTGGAGAAGCGGCGGGGACGTTTGTGCCACGACGATGGCCCAGAAGTTGTTCGTTGCGACTGCCCAAGCCATGCCAACCTCACGATGTGACAAAGGGAAAACCTCGGCCGAGTAGACAAATGCCACTGGTCCCTCTCCCGGACCATAGAATGCGGCAAAGATATAAATGAACAAGCAGATAACACCGAGGTGTGCGGGACTACTCTGCGGAATGCAGAAGGCCATACCTGCTGCTAGCATGGCCCAACACATGTTTGGAAAGGTGGCCAACAGCAGTGCTCTGCGGCCCCAGCGATCAATGGTCCACAAAGCTGGGATCGCGAATAGGAACATTGCCATACCATATCCCCATGAGGCCAGAAGAGCAACGGTGTTACTTGCCCCTGCTTCCTCGAACAGCGTCGAGGAGTAAAATGACATGAGATTGACTGCTATTGTTAGCAAAGCGTCCCCGAATATTTCGGGAGTATGTTTTCCTACCTCCACATAACTGCTGAGCTGCCATGATGATACCTGATGCTTGTGTCGCCCGACGGATTCTGGGGATGGTAAACAACTCCACGCATCTGGTGAAGAAGTTGCTGTCACCAAGTCCGTCAGCCTCTACTAGCTCTTGTTCTTTTTCAAGCTGAGCGTTAACGAAGTAAAGATCTCTAGCGGCGAGTAGATTATTGCCACGTAATCTCAAGAGTGACTCGTAGGCTTGGATAAATTTGCGCCTCTTCAATAGCCATCGGGGGGATTCAGGTGTGAAGTATATTCCCAGGAGTAAAGGTACCGCGGGGATCATGGCGGAACCAAGTTGGAGTCTCCAGGCGATGTCCCCAAACCCGACCACAGCGAGATTTGCAAGGAAGCCAAGCATGATCCCAAAAGCGCTGAAGAGCTGCCACGACATGACAAGAGCTCCGCGTATATTAGGTGGTGAGTTTTCAGCCGAGAACACGGGTACAGTGACTTCATTCAGTCCCATTCCCATGCCGAGAAGAATCCTGCAGATCAAGATCTGTGGCCAAGTCTGGCAAAGGGCTTGGCCAACAGGGCCGAGGATGCTGAAGATGGCGCCCAGGAAGATTGCACCGCGTCTTCCGAACCAGTTGCTGACGGGATCAGACAGCCAACAAGCGCTATTCGTACGCACAGGAAGTCAGTGATATGTCCGATATGGAATTGGCGAAGGACTTACATGACGCAAATAGCCATGTACGGCGCGCTGTTGATGGCACCAATGATCCAGCAGTTTCTTGCACATGTTCCAGCTATTATGCAGGCCTCGCCTTTGTCCGCAATCCCAAACGCCTGTGGGAATGACAAATTTGCTCCATTTGACCATGTTTGGTCCCAGCCCTGTATTGCTGCGCTGACCGAGTTCATAAGAATGGTGAAGTAGAGAGCTTTAGGGTGCCTCCAACGATGCTCGATTTCGTTTCTCAGAACGACCCGGTCATCTTCAGTCAGCTCCGGTATGTCTTCGTAGGTTTTCGGGGTCTGTGCTGCCAACGCCCCCTTTTCGAAGTAGGTGATCTCGTTTTGAAGACCAAGGCCGATGGCGAAGAGTCTTGCATCAATCTTGAGCTGTTCTCGGGGAATGCCTTCAAGCGGGTTTCTTGGCCTGTGAGTCCATCGTGTCAATAAGAAGGCTAAGATTGGACTGGGCTTCTTGGTGGTGGCCTACTCCCCAGTGGCCATCTGGCTTTCACTGCGGCGAGGATGGTCATGGTGACTGATTTCGACAGCATTGCCCACTTCTAAACCGCTCTTGAAACTTATATGGTGAGTTGAATGTTTGGCCAGGTGTGGATGTATGTTGAGACTTACATGGTATCATCTTTAGTTGGAGGTGAACTCGACATCTCGGCGGCTAATGGTTGGATTCAAGAATAGGAGAGGTGGGAGATTTGAAAATTGGCAACAGAGCACCTTCTCGGTCCAGGGAGACTGTTGGAACGACGGGAGAACGGCGGAAACACCCCCAAGTAGTAATACCTGGGGCTTACGAACCTTGAAAGACAGGCGCTGCAATGACTATTGCCGTGTGTAGACCGAACAAGGTACCAAGTCTTCAAATTCGGCTGCCGGTAGTCCAAAAGGTTGCCGATATAGGATTTTAAGTTTTGTCAACGATTTGGTATTTATGAACGCGATGTATTTTCAGTTCCGTCAAGTCAACCCACCTTTGGCGAGTCTCAGAGCTCGAAGGGCACATAAATCGAGGGGACCCTGTGCCGGGTGGCCGTCTTGAACTCCGCAAAGACAACATACCATATCCGAATTCTAACTTAGATGGTATTCGCACAGGCAACTTGGCTAGGCCCTGGGAGAAGGGCTCTCTGAATTCCAATTTCCATGTACCTGTCACATGTGTCTTCCGAACATGAAATAATTGCCTCAATGCCCTATCTAGGTTGGCCGCATGGATATCTGCGGAGCTCGGAAGAACTTGAGAATTATCGCAAGTGCAACCTCTATGGCCCTTACCTCTTCTTCAAGTATGTTCTACTTTCCTGGCAGGTTGATTTGTCGTTGAAACACCGTTCATTCAAAGCCGTTCTCGAATGCGTACGTCTTCAACACTATGTAGTGGAAGACGCCTAAAAATATTGGAAGTTTTGATGCCAGTCTAGTAATCAATGGCGTTTCTCAAGATCTTGCCTTAGCACAAGGAAACTAACTATGCGATGACCAGCGCGCTGCGCAAGCCGTGGCGCCGGCTCGAGTACCATGCGAAATGTTAAATTCTGACTGGAAATGAAATGGTGTGCTATAGACTATTTCCCGAGGAATCCCCCGCTGATGAATGAAAAGACAACGCATTTCTCCAAGTGTTGCTTCAGGCTTGCTTCATGGAGTATGAGATGAAAAATCTACAGCTGGGGGCTTGGTAAGCTGTTCAAAGGTTCTCGTCAAGGTCCAAGACCGCGGTGGCTTATTAGTGGGGCCGAGCTTTCGACTCTACCTTCCTTCCAATTCTGGCCTCAGTATCGGTGCAACCCCAGAGCCGTTTCAAGGAGTAGTCAATTGGCCGCTCGTTTGATGAATGTATTGTAACTATCTCGCAATTGTCTTATACGTGGCAGTGCACAGTTTTGGTTGCTCAGTATGAGTGCTAGTCAAGTGAGAACTGAAGGGGTGAAGAGAAGTTGGAACCGAGGCTCTCACAATGTTTGCTCTCGTCTCGACTTTCCTTCCCAGTCGGTGGTGAGAGGTGGAGACACTTCGCCGCGGCCCATCGTCTCGCCCCGTCTCAAGGGCGCGCGATATGTCAAGACATGCTTGAAGCTGAACACAGAGAATAAGTCAGGCAAAGCACCGTAATTGAAAATTTTAGATAAGAAGAGCAGTAGACACGTGGCTTGGGCTATTTAATCCAACTCTTCATCTCCAATCTGTGAATCAGAGCACCGGTACAAGCTGCAACATCAAGCCTGAGGTCCGACTCACAATATCGACCGACAAGATGGTTCAGATCAAAGCTTTCGAGGTAGAAGAGTGGATGGACCGTCTCGAGACAACACCTGGTGCTCTCAACATTGCCGAAACATGCTGCGAGTCTGTGTCGATCAAGGAGTTGACAGAGCTGTCGAACGACAAGTCGGCTGCGGGCCCCCTTGACATTGCAACCCGACGAATGACTTACGGCGCCATTTACGGATCAGTGAATACGCGCCAGCAGATCGCTAACCTGTACGCAAACGACGTCTCGGGCTCACTCCCCAGCGACCAAGTCGTCATTACGCAGGGGGCTATCGTCGCCAATTTCCTCACTCTCTACACCCTCGTCGGCGCGAATGATCATGTCATCTGTGTATACCCGACCTACCAACAGCTGTACGAAGTTCCCAAAAGCTTGGGCGCTGATGTGAGCCTTTGGAAATTGAAGGCTGAGGATGGATACATCCCGGACGTCCGAGAGCTTCAAGGCCTGGTGCGAGAGAATACCAAGGTAATATAACCATACGTCAGACGAGCAGTACCAACGGCTAACTTGAAGGACTAGATGATCATTATCAACAATCCCAATAATCCTACAGGTGTCACCACGCCCAATCATGTTCTCGAAGATCTCATCGCGTTTGCCAAGTCGAGAAACATCATTGTTATGGCCGACGAGGTATATCGACCCCTCTTCCACAGCCTTCCTGTAGGAGATAGCATGCCCCCGTCAATCCTGTCCTTGGGCTACGACCGAACCATTTCTACCTCGAGTATGTCAAAAGCTTTCTCTCTTGCCGGCATCCGCGTGGGATGGATCGCATCGAGAGATCCTGGAATTATTGAGGCCGTCAAGAGTGCACGGAACTACACGACCATCAGCGTCTCACAGCTCGACGATCAAGTGGCCGGCTATGCTCTCTCGGATGCGGTCAGACCAAACCTCATCAACAGAAACATCGAGCTTGCCAGGACAAACCTTGAGATCCTTGAGACCTTTGTCACGAAGCACCAGTCTGTTTGCTCATGGGTCAAGCCCTCAGCCGGTACAACGGCAATGATTGGTTTTCGAAGAGGCAATGAACCAGTTCGAGATGACGAGTTCTGTCTTGAAATCCTCAAAGAGACAGGGGTTCTGATCATGCCTGGGTCTACCTGTTTTGGTGAGGGCGTTGACTTTAAGGGCCAAATGCGGTTTGGTTACGTATGTCGGACAGAGGTTCTAAAAGAGAGCCTGGAGAAACTGAGTGTTTACCTACATAAGAACGTCCACTAATTGTGTTCAAAAGGGGACACTCGAGGTAAGCGTATTTGGGCCGACAGAGGACTTGGCACAAATGTCCTCTGCAAAAGAAGCGAATCGTGAATCTTAGCCTAGTCGCTGTATGAACTTCAAACCAGTATCCTTTTCTCTTATCAAACAATGACCACCCGCTCATGAATCTTCTGTAGCTTCTTCCTCAAATTGCACCAAGACCGTTCCGGCTTTACAGATATCCTAAGACAATGTCAGTGAGGGGCGTGCAACTTTGAAAATCTCAGACTACTCACGCCTTCCTTGTGCGCCAGCTTCTTTACCACGCCATTTTGGGGCGACCGAATGACAGTCTCCATCTTCATAGACTCGATACTACGTGTCAAAGTTAGCTACTGAAAGTTATCTTGTATTACTTGGGTAGAGCGGTACTCACACAACCAACGGGGCTCCCTTGGCCACCGTTTGCCCTTCTTCCACTTCGTTCTTTAGAATCTTACAAGGCATTGGTGCTACGACGGACGCAGTAACCTCCTTCAAACCGAGGGCCTTCTCAAACCAGCTCGGTGGCAGAAGTGAAAGCTCGGTCTTGATGCCATGCTGGAAGACAGCGATCTTGGTATCCTGCTCATTCTGCGCATTCTGCACAACCGTTGACTCCAATCTCTCGTTGGGGAAGAACGTTGTTAACGCATTTGTTGAAGAAGACTTTGGCTGGAATTTGCTGACGAGGTTCTCGAAAACCTGGGGTGTTTCCTCCCCCTTTCTTGTCACACGCGCATCGAAGAGCTGATGGGACTTTTGTGTGATGCTGACTTTTACAATTTCTCCTTCTTGCTCACTGTATAAATCGAGCACCTTGAAGGCAAATTTGCGCTCGCTGAGGGTGCTAGCCTCACCGAACCCTAAGCTACCTCCATGAGGAGCAGCGTGTGATAGTTGTGGGGACAACGAGCTCAGAGCAGCCTGGACAAAGACCTCGTCATGGATTGGCCGCGCCTTGAAGAGCTCATCTCTCCACTTGTCGATAAATCCAGTCTCAACGTCGCCTTCGATGAAAGCCGGAGACCGGCAAAGACGTTTAAGGAACTCGATGTTGGTGCTGAGACCCACGACTTCATACTCACGGAGAGCCAGTTCTAGCCTGCGGATAGCTGTCTCTCTGTCCTTGCCGCGAACAATCAACTTGGCAATCATGCCGTCGTAGGCTTCCGAGACAGTGTCACCCTGGATAAATCCGGCGTCGATGCGAATGTCTTCGTTCGTCTTCGGCGTGGTGAGGTGAATCAACTTGCCGGAATCAGGCATGAAGCCCTTCTCCGGATTTTCGGCATAAATACGAGCCTCAATGGCTGCACCGTGCTGCTTGATGTTCTCCACGATCTCCTCCTGTGTCATAGGTAGCTTCTCGCCAGCAGCAACGCGGAATTGCCATTCAACAAGGTCGGTGCCGGTGACCATTTCACTGACGGGATGCTCGACTTGTAACCGGGTGTTCATCTCCATGAAGTAAAAGTCGCCAGTGTCCTTGTCAAGGATGAACTCAACAGTGCCAGCGCCAACGTAGTTGACGGCCAAAGCAGCCTTCCTGGCCTTCTCCCAAAGATCGAGGCGAGTTTCTTCGTCCAAATCCGGCGCTGGAGACTCCTCAAGAATCTTCTGGTGTCGTCTTTGCACACTGCAGTCACGCTCCCCTAGGGCAACGCAGTTGCCTAGCTTATCCGCAAACACCTGCACCTCAACATGGCGAGGGCGCACAATGTACTTCTCCACCAACATAACCTCGCCACCTTCGCCAAAGGAGGCGCGGGCTTCAGCGCGAGCACTGCCAAGCTGAGCGGCAAATTCGTCCTCGGTCATAACGATGCGCATGCCCTTCCCACCCCCGCCCTTGACACTCTTGAGCAACACTGGGAACTTGATATCCTTTGCGTGTTCCAATAGTTGTGCCTCCCCCTGATCTGAGCCATGGTACCCTGGAACACAGGGGACGCCGGCGTCAGTCATGATGATCTTGCTTCGTGCCTTGTCACCCATATCGGTCATTGCCTGTGCCGGAGGTCCAACGAAGACGATACCCTCCTTTTCGCATCTCTCGGCAAATCGGGAGTTCTCAGACAGGAAGCCATAGCCGGGATGAAGAGCTTGTATGCCGTGCTTCTTGGCTAGGGAGATGATGCGCTCGCCGTCTAGGTACGCCCTTGCGTCGCCCAGGTTCAAGGAGTGCGGGGAGCACGCGGCGTGCTGGCTGTTGCTGTCGGGGTCCGTATAGATAGTCGTCGTCTTGATTCCTAGTCTTTCCGCGGTCTTGTGGATTCGCAGAGCAATCTCGCCACGGTTGGCAATAAGGAGAGAGGTAATGGGAGTGATTTGGCTCGAAGCCGGCACCATCTGGCCAGCAGCAGTGGAGAGGAGCCGAGGGAGGGGTCGGACGAGCCGGTGCTTCGCTTTCATGGAACGCATGATGGATGACTGAAGCTTTGTGACGTGGATTTCAAGCTTGAAAAATTCAATTGAATGCTCATAGAGAGAAGGAGAAGAACGCAAAGTTGATGGCCGAGGAGGAAAGCGCAGAGCTCAATGCGAGTGCCCCAGGTAACCCAAGGTCTCAAAGCAGCTTCGGCTTGCTGCGCTCGATCATCTTGGAATGAGCGGTGCCGACAATAGCCGTGGGTGCTGAAAGCCGCTGAAAGGCGACCCCGGATTCCAGGCGGGACGTGCTAAGGTCCGGTAAAATGCCCCCAAGCTGTCTTAGGTAAGGTACCTCGAGGTAGGTAGCTGCTGATAAGATTAGCATGCAAGTTCCTCGACGTCATTCCGCGATAAGAAGGAAGGTCCGATAGCTGTGCCCCGCATTAGTCAGCGTGGGCTGGGACCTTGCGCCCATCTTTCCTCTCCAGCCCGGCCGATCCAGACAGGGCTCCTTCAGAGAAACTCACGATACGTTACCTAACACCCACCAATCGTCAAGAATAGCTTCACCAACATGGATCAACAGGTCCCTCTCAACTACGAGGCTTCGGCTGGCGAGACCAACAAGCAAGTCACGGCAACTCTTCCCCAAGAGGTCGTACAATGCCTGGAGAATGCTCGATTCGTAAGCTCTTAGCTCTTCTGCCCACCTCAGTCAAGCTTTGCGATGGCTGTTCGCCACAACACCAATGTAGACATCTGGCTGACGAGACTACTGGGCCGATAGCTTCACCTTGCGACGTGTACCGATAACACGCCGAATGTCTCTCTCATGAACTACACCTACCTCCCATCCTCGAACTACTCGGCCGGCCCCGTAATTGTCATGACTACGAACCCCGCCTCGAGAAAAACACAGAACCTTCTTTCGAATCCCAATGTCTCTCTGTTGGTTCACGACTGTATGCTGTAGCTCTATTGTGGTAGCGTGTCTGCAAAGTTTGCTGACGTTTCGTTGAGGGTCTTCCCATCGCCCACCGACGTCTGGCCGACGACCTTCAGGCGGCAGCCCTGGTCCAGAGCACCGCTCCAGCCTTGCATCTCTCCTATTGAATCTCAACACCGCAGCGGTTTCTAGTATTAGTGCTACAATCAATGGCACCGCCAGACTGGTTGACAATGGTTCGGACGAGGAGAAGTTCTACCGCGAGGCGCACCTGGAGAACAATACATTTGACGAAGGCCAGAGCTTCAACCCAACTGTTCAGGCCGAGGACGGTGGCAGAGGATGCTTTGTCGCGGGGGAGGAAGTACGAGTCATCGTGGTCAAGATCAAGGACGTCAGAATCAGTGATTGGAAGGGTGCAGTGCGGGATTACGTGCTGACAGAGGAGACCGCTGCTCCCCAGCTCAATGGCGTACGGTAGGATAAACTGAAATTCAAGTAACATGACCATTGATCTCTGAGCTACAAATCAAAGACTCGACAACCTCATGCGAGACAATGATGGCGGGCGGATCTGGAATTAAGTCGTGAAGAGGCCTCCCTCGTCAAACACTTTCCTGCCACGTGCTTGCTTTGAGATGTTTACGCCGCTATTGTTTTGCCTTGCAGCTACAAATGCTATGTGACTGGCTACGAAGGAGACAAGGATCTCCGAAGAAGCATCCATTGTTATGCCCAATGGATGGGCAGTGATCACCGTTTAGACTCGAACTAGACTCGAACTAGACTCGAATTAAACTCGATTTAAATTCATGGGTTGACATGAGGCTTACACAGTACACTGGGTAGAAGTGGGCAGAGTACGATTCGACACTTGAGCCGATACTTTATATTTCCGGCCATTAAGCTTCTTTTAGTACTGGTAGGATTCTAGTATTTAGACGTCCTTATGAGAGACCAGCATTGGTTGTCTAAAGGCCACTGGTCAGTTCGTAGCGGCTATGAAAGTTTGATGTGCGCAGCATGGTGCGTGATCATCGGAATACTACATTTGGGTCAGTATTACTTGTGTGACAGCACATTGACGCATCATTCGATGTTACCGCATCAGCAAGTACTCGACTGCGTAAAGGCACAGCATTTCCCTCATATGTCTGGGCAGAAAAGACAAGGTTGCAATAGAGAAAAAATGGCGTTGGGCATCGGGCGAACTGAGGGGTCTAGGTAGGCATGTTGGACCACCAACCTTGCAGCACGTAGGCTAGCTGCAGCGGCAGGCAGAGTGAAACATTCAGGGATCAAGGCCTCTCGGGAGTTTCTGTAGCGGGTTTGGAGCTCGGCACATTGTGTTTTGAGCCAAGTCGGATCTCTTTAAGCATAGCGTGCGCCGGTGTGCCAGTCAGGACCAGGTTTAGGGGCGACACGGATAAAGGGGGAAATGGAGGCTGATCGGAAGTTTTGGGAGGGTTGCACAGGTTTAGAGTGCATATTTAAACTCGACCAGAGCCACTGCTGGTTGGCACCGAGGAAAGCCCGAGGGTTTTTGACTCGGGTCCGCAGAGGCCGATCAAGGGATCACATCGGCAGATAACCGACCGACCGCGGGGTTCGTCAAATCCCGCGGGGTGTGGTATTTCATGCCGGCATCGAAGTGTGAATGGAACAGTGCTGGAGGACTAGGAATGGGATGCTTCAAACATTTTCGTGGTAAGTCAATGCATAGAAATCCAAGTGACGTTGGTTCATTATAGTAGGTAGGTAAGTATTTTCTATGAGTATGATCCTGCCCCTTTAGACTGGGCATCTATAGAGTATAGATAGAATCGAATAGGCGAAGCCTGATCACAGAGGCTTCCTCGCTGTGACAAATGATCTAGAGAATGAGAGTCAGTCAGCTGTTTCCCAGTCAAGCTACAATCGTATCTCGAGGAACCTACACTTTGCCATATGCCTCGTTTGCGGTATCGCGCGACTCCTTGTGGACTCTCTTCAGGAGACTCCGGGTATCGTTTTCATCCCAACCCCCCCTGCCAAAGACTGCCAACGAGTAATTCTCCAAGCCTGGTAACATGTCAGTCGAAGGAACTTGGACTTGATAAGAGTGCGGACTATGATCATACCGTATTCCAGCATCTGAGCAAATTGTGCCCCTTTTCTGACCATCTTTTCATCATGTCCCACAGCCTGTATGGGAACTAGGTCCGACCATCGCGCCACCTTTTCAAATCCCACATCAGAAAACATGGCGGGAATCTTTGGCGTCGGGTCAAAGTCGACGCCTGCAATCTTGGCCATTTCCGAGAACCGCACCTCGAACTCGCGACATGCCGTCATCCCGCCGTGATCCCCTTCCTCAGCCGTAGGCGCAACAGGCTCATCTCCACTGCTATCAATGAGGTCAAAGTACCTCGTCCTCACTTCGGCGAACTCAATCTGTCCACCAGGCTTGAGGTGTTCGTACGCTTGCCGGAAAAGCGCTTTCCAGTCCGAGACGCCCCCGCCGACGAGGTTCCTCATGTGCACAAAGTCCAAGCTGTCCTTCTCGCGAGCCCAGTCATGGTTTGCATCTTCGACTTCAAAGGCAACGTTGGCCGGTACAGTCGTGGGCAAGAGCGCGGCGGAGATGTCGATGCCCATGATCTTGGCCAGGGGGTACTGCTCGCCCATTTCAACGGCCCAATTACCGGTCCCGGAACCAATGTCGAGAATGTCGAGAGGCCTGTCCTTGGGGAGCTTCGCCGCCGTTAAGCCACCTTCTAGACACAGCTTGAATAGCTGATGCTGAATTTCTAGACGAGCTCGCTCAGATTCGTCGTTGGGCATTAATAGTACACCAGAACCGTGGTATGTGTGACCATAAGCGCGGATGGGCGGGAGCTCGTCAACAGAGACGGAGCTGAAATCGGACCCGGCATCTGAGTCGTCTTCGTCGCCGTCGTCGGAGTCTTGGGTATTGTCTGGTCGAGATGGCCTCCTCCGTTCTTTGCGGTCCGTCCGATTTCTTGAGGCACCGGCACCCTCGCCCCTGCATCCGTTGCCATCACCGATGCCGGGGTCGCCAACAGCGTCAACGTCCTCACCCATTTCGGCGAGCTTTAGAAAAGACTCCAATAGAAACCTGAGACTAGAATTTTCTCTCAGCGCTATCCGGCGTCAATGTCGTCTCTTTATCGCGTCTCTACGTTTGCAAAGAAGCTTCAGTAGTCTGTTACTCTCAAAGAGCGATTCACTGCACGGTTGTTGTCTTCGCTCGCCAGATTTCCCAAATGGGGACTCAATTGTGGGCCCGGCCGCCTCGGGTGTAATATGGCCACACGTGGGATGGCTGATGAAATTTCCCCAAAGGAGAATAGGAGGGAACGCAAGAGATGATAGATGAAATACCCAGGCCAATATCAGCGCGGGGAAGGTGGGTTACGCACAGAGTATCAATACGGATACATCAAATGGTTTTTCCTGTCGAGGGTTGGCGGATGTCTTTGTATTCACCCCCTTAACAACCGGTGAGGTAGTCGATGAAAGGACACTACAAAACCAGAGACAAGGGGAGCCCGTTGGCCTCTCGATTGTTGACAAAGGATGATGGCAGAACAAAGGGGATGAGGACTACGCAATGCACAAGACCAGACGGGAAAGGCTAATTTGAAAGGGGGGAGGGAGGACCTGATGAGGGAAATGGACATTTACCGCGGGATACTTCAGAGCTTGACTTGGACGGGATTCGATGGATGGAACCTCCACGTATTGTGCATCATTTTTTCTCGTTCTCTCTCGGTCTCTATCCTCCCCTTGCTCCTCTGCCAGGACCTGACGCCATCAAATCACACTTGGCTTCTGATCGGAGCACTTGTCCGCAAGGAGCCACTGGGCAGAGAGGAGACAGCATGGGAAGTGCGGGAGGCGGTCGACGGCGGGCCATGAAGCATGGGACAGCATGGGATGTGCCGCCCAGGAATTGGTGAAATCCATGGAGGATTTGAAAACGAGAGAGAGAAAAAAATTCAAGCCGTTGGAAACCCCCCTCCCTCTCCCCCCTCCCGACAAAAGATGTGCATGCATGCATGCATGCATGCAGAGAGGGACCAGGAAAACAACGGGGCGGCTGGGCTGTGACTGGCAAGTTGCATTTACTCTTTGCGGCAAGCCATCTCAACTTCTCAAATCGTAACCTGCCCTACCCTGTGCTTGTTCACATGGGCAGGGCCTGAGCTTGCCTGCAGTTGTACGGATAATAGTGCCAGGATCAGAGAATGAGACAGGGTAGTCATGGCACTTGAGCTTGGAGCACGGGTCTGATTATTTTCAGGGCAAGGAACACTTGCGAAGAACACCGGCCAAAGAGAAACGCAAATCAAGTCAAATCCCGGTACACTGTCCGTACACCACATACTGGGCTTACGACAGCAATATCTCTTTGGGATACCTCAAACTTCATATTCTCCCTAGCTCCCGTGTCATACGCGCAAAGGCGTCAGTTTGGCGATTCAGTACTCTCATCCGCACAAGGGATCCTGAGTTGGATACTCACCTTATTCGTGAGGTAATTCCCACCTCACCTGTCTTTCTTGTCTTTTTATCTGCAGAAGGAATGGCAAACACCTCTCTGCCGCTTCACGCCGTCCGGTATACCAAGATGCGGCACGCCTCCGAACTACCTTGTTCGGATGTTCCAGGATCAACCGGAGCCAAGCTCAACCCGGCATTCTCTTCATGACCTCGGTCACTGATGTCTTACCTTGGAAGTAAGTACACTACTGTACAGGACACTGCTCTGAAGTAGCTACCTAGTCAAAGCACGTCTCAACGCGTCCTCCCAAGGATCGGAATGCCCCTCCAAAAGTGAAGGTCTAGAATGGCCCTGGCGGGATGCAACGTTGACCGGCAGGATGCTTCATTCAAGGGCGCTTGCTCGCTCCTTTCCAGAAAGACTCGATTGCCAACGTGGTAGACATTATGGGCGATAAAACTCGAGAACGGTGAACGGCGTCGGGAGTGATTCCTCGCCTGCCCTCGAGTTCCACCGCAGAGATCGTTGGTTCCCTGTCGTAGGTTCTGCAGGAAGCCCGGCCCGAAGCGGCAGACCAACCGCGAAAAGAGACCATTGTGATGACCGTTGCTTTGTAACTTGCCAACCACCCTCCCAGCGGACATCTCCCGATGGCAAGAGGGCCTGACGACCTGTATGAACTGCTCGAACCCTCACGCTGCCCACCAGGGCCACGAGGGAGAACAAGGCAGGGGGGCATGGGGCCATGGTCGACTTGCCTTCCTTGGGACCTCCAACCGCCCAGGGTGCCACGCAGTGTTTGCCTGTCAAATGGAGCTAACGGCGTGGCAATCATGTACGCTAGTCTCTGCGGATACAGCAGAAGCTAGCCCGCTGCCCCCATTGTCTGTGGTAATTTAGTTGAAGTGACGCTGTTCTTCCCTTCCCTTCCTTCCAGAAGCCCAGCCCAGCTCGGCACATGGATAATGGAATGT